TAACACCATCTACTCCCATATTAAACGTTGAATCAGATCATGTATCTTTACTTAGCCTAATTAGCATAATGCAGTATAGTGTAACAAGCCAAATGACTTCCAAAGCACAGACATTTTATAGGGAATTTCCTAAGAAATTAAATAAAATCAAAGAATTACTCACAATTTGCAATGGGTAAAGATTAAATTAAAGGAAGAACACACATACAGTGTTGTGGGCCACCATGGGCAGCCTTCTTAATCTAGTCCCTCTATTGATGTTTTGATGATGGTGATAAAGAACGCTGTCTAGCACCTCTGGGTGTTAGACAGAGGCCAGTTACACAAAGATATTTTAGACTGATCTGTAATGTTAGGTTAATCTTTGCTCTTAGATTGTCTAATGCAAGTTAGATAGTTTAAAAAAAATAAAACCATGTACTGTACTCATTTTAAGCCTAAAAAGTTAGCCAGTCTGCCCCCGAGGCGAACTGAGAACTGAGAGCCAGGTTTCCATGGTAACAAGCTGTGATACCTGCTGACATATGGCACCAAATGTCAAAAAAAGAGGAAAACGTGGCTCATAGTTTGTGGTTGGTTAACAATGTTGTGGAGTGAGTAGTGATAAGGGAAAGTGTTTTTAAAACCACAGTAACCCTGGAAATACACAGCAGTGAGGACATCCTCAATTGTTTCCTGTGCCTGACTGATCTGCATGGTGTTGACATTTTAAGCTACACTAAGATTTTTTGTATTGTTTCACTTTTTGCTGAATTTTCCCAATAAAATGTCCTTGTATATATAAATAATGTAATATCTTTGTGCAACGGGTGACTTTAGACATCTGTCTATTAATTAGATCTAAGCTCAGGTCAAAGTCTTTGTGAAACCGGCTCCTGGTGAATATGAAGACAATAGGAATATATATAATATTATTATATAATGACACATCATATTCCTACTCATCAAACATCACCTTGTGCCCTGTATGGGAGCATCTCTATTTGTTATGTTTCTCCACCCATTCATCCTGATTTTTCCTTTAATAGTTACCCATCTGTATCAAACCCAGAGAAAGATCCGCCTCACCTTCCGCAGTCTTCACCCCTTCGTCTGACTTGGAACAGTCCTGTACGGAGAAGAATTCAGAAACACGTGATTAACATTAGGACACAATGCAGGTTGACTCTGTACCTCCAAACTGGCAGATGTCCATTTTTTTTATTGCAACTCACCACTCCAATCAGTCCCGGGTCGGTTTCAGTCTGTTTCACTGTCACCTGGATCACCGGACTGGGTCGCTTCCGAGCCAACATCGTCATGGCAACGCTGTCTGGGACTGTACTGCTCTTCCTATTAGACAAAGACAAGAGATGGAGGGAGGGGGTTTAAATGACGAGGAGAAAGAGACAGAGAGATGGGGAGTCTATGGAAGTCCATACATCAATGCGTCAATTTAAGAAGAAATGATCTGGCCCTCATCCCCAGAATCCCAGCCTCTCTACATAAAATAAGCTGATTTAAAGAGATGAAGAAGCACTAAAAATAATTGTCTCTGGACTTGCAACTTGCTGTTTCATCTCCCCACCAGCTTTCAAATATTATAAAGAAATTAAAAGAAATACAGTGATATGGGGAACAGGAAGTGGTGTACTTTCTTTTATGAGTCTCTGCGCAGATCAAGTGTGTCAGAGCGGAGTGGCCGACTGAAGATCACTGACCTTCCCCTCATTAGCTCGCTCATTCACCAAAGCTGTACTGAGTCTTTGAAATGATGTGGAAAGAGTCTGTGTCCCACTCTGAGACAGTTGATCTCAAAACCAATCTGATCTCAAAGAAACAGAGTACTGAGAAAAAGACACATACAAAGCGAGATAGAGGAGGCTAAAATTGGTACTAAAAAGAGAAAGTCAAGCGCGGTAAGTCGGTAGTATTAGTGGCATTATTCTAAAAAGAGGTTTCAGGCCTAAATGTACAATTTCATTTTAATAATTAAGTTGTATCATTGGGGATTTAGCCCTCTGGCCTAGATTTTGTAATGACTAACCTGGCAGGAGAGCAGCTTGAAGCACAAGGAGTAAAAACGCCAGTCTAGTGTACAGTACATCTCTCTGAATGGCCTCCAATACATCCATAAAGGTGAAACCACATGAGCAGGAACTTCCCAGCTACTTCACATTAATCCAGGATTATAAGTGTGTCTCCGGGGGGGTTTACCTGATGCTGGCGGGCAGGCAGGAGTCAGAGGCGTTACTTTTCTTTTCCGGGGCCTTGCTGAGGTCAGAGAGGCTGCTGCGGACCACCGCCTCGCCCTCGTCGAACATCAGGTGCAGCCGATAGTTGGCCAGCTTGATGAGGATGAAGAAGACGGTGATGGAGGTGCAGTAGATGCTCAAAGCCATGGTGGTAGGGGGCAGGGCCTGTGGAGAGGAGAGGAGAGGAGCTTCATCATATTCAAATCAACATCTCCAGAGTCTCCACCAGACCAGTGTTTGATTTAATGCTCTGTGCTGTAGAAGCAGAAACTATCTCTTCTCATCTTTTTAGATGAAATTCTGCGAGTTTATTTGGTCACACAGACACAGTGTTTCCCCGAGTGCATTACAGGCTCGGTGAACCACGAGATCTAATATGATTAACTGGTGGATTAATGAAGTTTATTGATCCCCAGGGGAGGAATAGCCCATAGAAAAGAACAGGAAGATTAAAAACGAAGCATCTGCATCATGCTGATACATGAGTCATACTGGTCTGGGGACTTGCTGTGTTGGATGTGGACCCTCATTAATGTCTGCAGGTACAAATGTGCAGTCTAAATATACAGCCCAGTGTCATATCTGCTTGTATTTGATTGTCACCTCTACTTTGTGCCACCGTTTATCTGTGTTGTGCGTGACCTTCAGATAAAGTGCTAATAAACTTGAAATTTGAAACATCTCTCTCAGAAAAGCGTGTGTTGTTTTTGCAGGGGAAGCTGTGGGTGTTTTCAAACAGACTGTGAAAACTGTCTGCCACAACATTTTAATACAGCCTCAGTGGCAAATGTGAGCTGTCAACCCCTCACAGCAGAATCTGCTACTTTGCCTGACTAACTTTCATTCACGGGCAGCTGATTTCTGGTCACCTGAACGCACAGCGAGACACACAATCAGCCCTGGTTTATTGCACTGAGACTGTGTGTGAGTGAGCATCACATCCCAGAATCCTTATCTGCAATACTTCAATATCTAATCTGAATAAAACTGGTCGGTGTGCTGATAATCATTGTTTCTGTGTGAATGTGCCGCACATGGCTGTTGTTTCCATTCTTTTCAAGAGGTGTGTTTTATCATAAGGTCAAGGTGTTTGACCTATAGCAGCAACTCTTCCCCTTTATTCCACAACCCTGCTGTGTGACTGTAATAGAGGGTTTCCTTCTGTATCTCCACACATCTACAAGGTAAACAGTAACACATCCTATGCGCAGGTTTCTCACTCGGGATATGAATGCAGCCTGTGTTGCACCTATCTCAAAGGCCACGACATGAAAAAAGGAGTGAGCCACAGTTTCACGCCTCCTGGCTCTCTCCCACTGCCTCATCCATGAGCAGCCATGCGTTCCGTCACCGCATGCAAGGGAAAAATACTGCGACAGTGGTGTTTTTCTCTAGCCTCCCCCAGCAGCACCCAGACAATGAAAGATATTACATTCTTGCACAGCCACAGCGCGTTTATCCGAGGATGGGATATAAGGGCGCATGAGAAAATAAAGCCCCGTTACCTATAGGTACAGTGGGCACCTCAAACCCCCTTCGCGGCCTTGAACGTCATGTTCCCCTAATAAAAAACTCACCAGATGGAGAGAGAGGGGCAACATCAGGAGGAATATCCACAGATAGAGGTGGCAGGAGTTGTTGAATTTGTTCTGGTCCGGGTCGTGGTACCAGCCCCCGGTCAGGGATGCCCAGACTCCCTGACGCAGGGTCTGCACAACCTGGGAGCCCATCTCTCCTCCAGTCTCCTCCTCTCCGCTCAGGTTGGACGGACGGATGATGCCGCTGCTGCTAGGCTACAATGAAATGATCTCCTCTTAATGCATGCTACTGGCGCTACGCCTCCATGTTGGGCCGATATAGCACGTCTCCTGAGCCGTCGCTTTTCACGCCTCATCGGTCTCCCTCGGTGTGGTCCTCTCGTCTGCCTTTTCCCATCCCAATGTCGATTCGTCCATTGCTGCTGCCGCGGTCCTCATCTTGTCCTCTTCGTCTCTCTTTCTCTCTCTCTCTCTCATCCTCTCCCTCTCTCTCTCCCTCTCCTCTCTAGCTGCCTGTACAGATGCGCAGCTCTGACCGCCTCCCCTTCCCTTTCCCACTCCTCCTCTCTGCCTCCCCTCCCTCTCCATCCTTTCCTCTTATACGATTCTCCCCCTCCTCCGGTGTTTATCTGCGCACGAAGCCATACAATCAAAGCCACACTGTGCAAAGTATGGTTTTATACAGGCGCATGTGCAGTCTTCCTATAGGCTAGAGGTAATGTGCATTTATACGGATATATAGCCTGGTATAATAGTGTAGTGTTGTATTATTGCATATTCGTGGTAATACTAGTAATAAGCCCAGTAATGGTGTGTTTATATATGTTTCAGGCTGTATACCAGAGTTGTTGTCATTGTCTAGCTGCATGTCTTTGTGTCTCTCCTTGTACATTTGTTCCTGGCACTGTGTGTAAGCACACTGAGAGCCACTTGACACCGGAGTCACATTCCTTGTATGCCTACTTGGACAAAATACTCGGACAAAGTAGTAGTAGTAGTAGTATTCTCACTATAGAGTTACTTTCTTGTCCACATGGCTGGAAGGAGTAAGAGTGTGTGTGTGTGTGTGTGTGTGTGTGTCATCCTATATGGTCCACTATTCCCATAATTTCCCTGAAGGCGCGCTCTCCTCACACATTCCTATAGTAGCTCCTCCCTCCCTCCCTCCCCCAATCTACTGCTGCGGCCGTCACGTGTCCTAGCCCAACCAATCAGAGGGCAGCAGAGGCAGCAGCGAGAGCAGCGGCAGCAGTCCCAGATCCTCCGTACAGCACTGCTGGGTCCGACTGCGTTTGGCGGTGGGGGGGTTGTTTTGATTAAAGCTCACGGATTTTAGTTGTTTTTTTTTTTCCCTCAAGTTTTTCACGTTTTGTTTTTTTTAATTCCCGCGTCGTTGCAGTTAAAACCAGGATGTTTGATGTGTTTTCTACCAGTTCAACTTTTCTTCATGTCCCCGAGGGAGCAACGAAGTTGGGAATAACCGATGTTGAAGCTGAGAGGAGCCAACTCTTCCAACTCTTCCCACTGCCTCAACTCTCACTACTCAACGGGCTGCACTATGCTAAGCTAACCCGCTAGCCAATGCAGTTGAAATTCCTCTTAAAAAGTCCCCAAACCAGACGGCGAACTTTACATTTCGGGCTTCGGCGATTACATGATATTTGCCGGCGACTTCCAGAGAGAAACCCGTCCCTCGGAGCGTCGCTTTACCCCCTCGGAGCGGCCGGTGCAGGTGCACCTCTGTGCGGCACCTGCGAAGACTTGTTGCTCCATCGGTGAGAGCTAACTTTAGCTCGTCCGCGTTAGCATTGGGCAGAAACCGGAGAGTGGGTCGCTGAGGGCTGATGTTTCTCTCGTAGCGGTGATTAATTGAGTATTAATACATTACGTGTTCACTTTATATTGCTGTTTAACCGTCAGCACATGAAGTTGTGGCGTTAGCTGAAAGTACTCCGGCTCACGGTAGTTGTTGACCCTCACGGTATCGGAGTGGCGACGTGGATAACGTTACGGGGCTGTAGACGCCGTCTGTCCCAGGACTTTGGACGCGGTTTGACTCTGCCGTGGGCTGCACAGGGGGCTCCTCTCTGTTCTCATCAGCTAGTCTCGTACATGTGACAGCATGAGGATTTCTAAAAGTGACCTTTTACGGGTTTAAAGTTTTCATTTTGCTCTAAATAAAAGCTCTGCACCCTATGGTGCCGCTACGGCCACCGAGAAATGGATGTCTCGCAGGCCGCTTTCCCAAACGGTGAAGGGCGGCCGGGCGGCGGTGGGACCGGGGAGCATGCCTGGACGGACCCCCCCACAGTTCGGTCGTGGGCTCACTCTGCCCCGCTGTGCCCGACTCGGTCCCTGTGGACAGCCGCATATGACTACGAGGCAAGCGGCGAGGACGAGCTCAGCCTCAGGCGAGGGGACGTGGTGGAGGTCCTGTCCAAGGACGCAGCGATCTCCGGGGACGAGGGGTGGTGGACGGGTAAAATCAACCACCGGGTCGGGATCTTCCCCTCCAACTATGTCACCTACCAGCCCGCTATTTACCGTCTGCCCGCTACGAGTGGGACGGTGGGGGTCCCAGAGCAAGTCCCGAGCTCCCCTGTCCAGATCCCTTTCAGTGAACTGGTGCTAGAGGAGATCATAGGCGTGGGTGGATTTGGCAAAGTTTACCGGGGCACATGGAAAGATCAGGAGGTTGCCGTGAAGGCGGCTCGGCAAGACCCGGACGAGGACATAGCAGCCACCGCCGGCGGTGTTAAACAAGAGGCGAAACTCTTCTCCATGCTGCAGCACCCAAACATTATTAAACTGGAGGGGGTTTGTTTGGAGGAGCCCAACCTGTGCCTGGTCATGGAGTATGCCCGAGGCGGGACACTGAACCGGGTGTTGACCGGAAGGCGCATCCCTCCTCACATCCTGGTCAACTGGGCCGTGCAGATCGCACGCGGGATGCACTACCTGCACGAGGAGGCCGTGGTACCCATTATCCATCGTGACCTGAAGTCTAGCAACAGTAAGCAAAGATTGAAGTGTGTGTTTGAATGTGTGCTTGAGACGGATGAGTTCCGTTAGGATGGACAGTCTAAGCTTTAGGGGGACCACGACAGAGACACCCACCTGTTGCACATGCAGCCCAGCGTTAACTCACCCTACAGCCGCTTCTAAAGCAAGACTCTTATCTAATCTAATTCAGTTCTCTCAATGTGTGTCATTAATTACAGGTTCAGGAAAACACCGTTTTCTCGTTATAGCCTCCGAAACCGAATAATTCGCATATATTTCACAGCATCACGGGTACAGCACTGGCCTTTACGCAGGGTGGATTAACAGGAGGTGTAAAAAGGTCTGTGGGTGGGGGATACCATCGAGAGGATGTGAAATAAAGTCAGTTTGCTCAGCTGAGCTGCCTCCTCCCCCCGAACCCCCCCTCCGCTCCCTCCCTCCCTGCACTCACCCCTCCCTCCCTCCTAAAACACACACAAACACACCTTCCCAGCCCCCTCTCCACCCCGAGCTGAAATGTTATTCAAATAAAAGCCAGTGATTTACCAAACACATAACCAGACACACACATAACACATAACTGTGCGCACTGTCAGGCCATGTGCTTGACCAACCAGAGCAGAGGTCAGAGGGTAAAAAGGAGTCAGAGAGCCTGTCCAAGGATCTAAGGAAGGATCGCTTATTCAGCAGGGGAGTTTCTCTGTATTTTCCCAAGGCATGTCGTGTTTGGAAGACCTGGGAGTATTTGCAGGTCTCGCTTTTGAGTTTTTTCTGCTAACTAACTAGTTCCTCCGTGAACTTGTTATTGACAACAGGCCAGCAAACTTTAGTTTCCCAGGACTGAATAATGAATGGACAGGACTCAGTGAGAAAAAGAGTCCGAGTCATATACCCACTGACACAGGCTACCCACTTCCACTCAGGTGTTTTTATGTGTGTAATATGACTCTATTTCTCCCTTTGAGACTCTTATCAAGCGGGGGCCATGTGGGGAGCAGCTCTGTCGTACTGATGTCTGTTTATCTCCATCTTTGAGAGTCAATGCGTGCATGTAGAGGCAAAACATTTCAAATGCACACAGACCCGACCCTCCAGGATAAACAGCTTAAGACACGGTTTGATGTATAAAAGATAAAGATTGCATGTGGGTAGTACTCATAACGTATATATATACTGCTGCAAACATGGCTTGTATACTTACTTATAGTTTCAGCTAATAAACGGCAGCGATCGTGCGAGCGATGACAAAAAGTTTACACCTCGTCAATCCTCACAACCAGTTTTACAGTCTATTTATAACTTCCACGAAGTAAAATAATAAAAGTACATTGTGGTTGATCTAAAAAAACTCCAGAGCTATTACCCATCATGTAGAATATAGTTTCAATACAGTCTGTCCATTAGACTAAAACAAGTTTTTCTCCAGCATGAAAGTAAAATGAATTCACTCTCTGTTTTTTTCGAGAACCTTTCAAACAAAACGGTTAACTCTAAAGTGATTGATGAGCATTTGATGCCCCTGAGGCCATGTGGTAAACGGTGTAGAAGAGCCCAGCCCTCAAAGTAGTCTCTTATTTAAGATGGGAGATTTGTGTTAATTATAGGGCAGATGGAGAGAAAGGATTTAACTGCTGTTTAGACAGTTTGAGTTAATCGGATGTTTGGTGAACATACACAAACGCTTCCCCCGAACGGGCACAGTGCTGCGAACACAAGTTAGTATGTTTATCCTGCCACTTCACTGTGACCTAGAGACAGCATACGCTTTAGGTGAAGAGAGATCATTTAAAACTGAACTTATAATAGACCTTTCACAGTGTGGAACCTGGGAACTCAACATTTCACCCACCGCTTAGTGCCTAACCATAAAATAAGACCAAGACAGACAGTTTGCCAGTTGGCGTTTGCAACAACACTGTTACCAGTCTCAGGTAGTTGATGGTCCCAGGGTCAGAAGTCTGAACATCTGTAGTCAATATACAGTCTTATCTAATAAAGAGACAATGAAAGAAGCTGTATGTATTTGCTTTAAACCAGGGCAGTGAGTTCACAAAGGACTCTCTCCTACACACAAACTCAAATGGCACCCTGTGGTGTGTTGGGTTGTTTTCCCAGTAAAAACCTAGAATAATGCAGCTTAGAGAAGTTGTTGCATCTGCTGGTGTGGGGCTGCTGTCTGTTTGTCTTGGCGTTGTGTGTGCGTGGGTCAGTCTAAAGGGATAAAAGGAGTGAGAATTATCTACACAGGGGGTAAAAAGAAAATGGATACATGGCAATAAGTGGTTGTTAATCAGCAATCTGTCCCTTTTTTAATATTCAATGAGCAGAATATCTGCTGGTGTGGCTGTCTCTCTCTTCAGTGTTTAGTCTCAGGGTAAACGAGGACACAGACAGGTACATGTGTGGAACTAAACTTCTCCATCTTCACTCAGCGACTCAGCCTGTCATTTATCAGCTTGCAGTGTACACATGCTCCACGCAGACAAACATACAGCTATTTGATCAATGATTAGCCTGTAAAGTAATATGTTGGAAGTCAGCAAGATTTGTCCAATCTCTTTTGTGTTTTTCAACCTAATCTGTAAAATCCCAGCCTGCAGGGAGGAATGTTGCTAATGAGGGATAAAAGCTTAACATACGTTTGCACAATGGACTGGTCAAGCAGCGGTTGCTAGGCTACTGTGGCCAGAAGAATGGCTAGGACTCGGAGGGTCTCAAAGCCCTCGTTTTGTTTTGTTCCGTTCATATTTAATCTCCCAGAGAGCAGCGGTACTCTTTTATTGCCACAAACTGAGGGGGTTTCCCTTCTTACTTCGTTATTTTTCTCCTTCCTTACCTTCCCTCCCTTGTTCCTTACTCTTTGGACACAATTTTCAAAACTTTAAAGGATAATGCCGGAGTTTTTTTTTCCTTTTCATATTTCTCCACAAACTTCAACCCCAACAAAGAATTTATCCCGCGAACAAGTATTATCTGTCTAGCTGCAGCCTGATTTAGTGAATGATTGTGTGTCATAGAGCTCCATTTACATCCAAACACTGTTTACTAATACTGTTGCATTGACATATGCATTGATTAAAGTAATATGGGCAATACAGTTGCTTCTAGACAGTGGCTCCATGTCAAGCAGACGTCACTAAGCACGCTCAGAGTTCTGCTTCCATGTTTACAACACTTTGCTAATTTGACAAGCTGTGAGGAACAGTCTATACTTGCAGTATTCATTGTACTGAAGGAATATGTCGCCTAAATGCAAAAGCATGGCTCTTGTGTTTGTAATTGTTCTTAAATGTCAGCAGAAACAGAGAGTGACCTGTGGTGACTTGTTAGATGTATACATTTAATGTTTATTCAGCTCTTCTCAGGGATTTGTTTATTACAGTCTTTTGTTGTAGAATTTGTTGTTTTCTTTCTTCCTTTGCTAGTCTTATTCACTGCATCCTTTCACACGCTTCCTTCTTTCCCCTCTCACAACTTTGATTTAAACGTTCTCCCTCCACCTAGGAGTGGTAGTATTCATAAAGCAGTAGATAAGAGCAAGGAATCGCACTGAAACCCGGCCCTGAGCCAGCGTGCGTAACCCACATTAATTTTGGAGTTTCACATCTTGGTGCGAGCGATAGTATGCCAGGAATGTGTGCTTGAACGGCGCTGAAACTGATGGAGTTCTGTTTGGAGCGTGTGCAACAGCATTCCCCCATCAATCTTAAGCTATTGTTAGACTTCATCACGCTGTCCCTGTGTTCCCCTCCCTCTCCCTGTCTCTCTCTCTCCAGTCCACGCACCCATTATTCTGTAGATCTGTGAAGACCTGGCTGAAAGTCATAGAAGCACAGAAAGGATTTCCTTTTATGTCAGTACTGAAATTAGTACACATAATACGTTTAGAGAACATGTTGAATTTAGAATGATAACCGTCTGACAGATCTTATTTGGGCCTGGCAGTCGCTGCAGCCACGGAAAGTGTTATTTCCATTTCCATATTTGTCGTACACTGCGCAAAAGTAAGCTTAAGTTCAAAGTATAAATAGGAAGTTTGTTGTGATGAATCATAGTTTTCTCAGTAAGTCACATTAATCATCTTATTGCTATTTCACAGCAGTCCCAGTCATATTTGACTGATTAAAGTGGCCCAAATAGGAAGGGAGTCAACATTCTTCGAGTAACAAAATGATACTGTTGTGGCAAGTGAGAAATGCACTTATAAGTCACTTTAAAAAGTATATCCTGGATAGTGATCATTTTTACATGATTGTGGTGATACATAAAGGTGGATCTTTATGTTGTTAAATTCCTTTACTGCGTTTTCTGTCCCACTATGGTTGAAATAAAACCAACCAGCCTAAGACTGTTGCAATTAAAAATATGCATAAGAAAAAGGAAAATTAGGGATGCGCCTATCGCACATTTTCTGCCCTGATACCCAAATTAAGAGAGTGACAGTGCTAGCTAATTTCCATCTTCCATTTCGTTTTACCTGTCCTCCTGCTGCTGCACTGTTACCTGTGGAAATGCTAAACAGACCTAGTTATCTTCTAGATTTGGGGTGCAGTGAACCACTCTACCCTCTTAAACCCTGTTTTGCGTTACTAGGTCATAACAAGCTCACCACAGGAGAGAAAACAGTTAGTAGTACTTTTACTGAGTAGTATGTAGCTCAGTAAAAGTATCCCTCTAGAGATAATTTTTCTGTTGTCTCTTGTCTCTCTACTTCTGGAATAAGTAGAATCACGGAGGAAGAGTTACTAAAGCTTCACTAGGTGTTGCAGGGCAACTTTTCTCAGGCTTCCCACAATTACCCCTGGTGACACACAGACAGTTACTGCCTGTCTTTTCTCTGACGAGAGAATGGGCAGAGGGGAGAGAGGAGGAGTGGAGATGCTTTCACTGTGTTTTTTATGACCTCTCCCTGACTGCACCTATTGTTGCAGGGAAGGGTGAAAAGGAAAAGGGCCCACAGCTGAGAAGAGCTGCCTTCCGAATCAACCAATCCCCTCCGCAGCTCCCCAA